GACTTGATCTTCCAATATAATTTCATATCTCAAGACAACCTAGTGGAGACCACGGATACAGCAGTTGAAAATTAGAGAAGAGAACACACTGGATGAGATTTCATTTCTCATGATGGAAAGTATGAAGATGGTTAGCTGTCTTCTAGGACGTTGCGCCATAGTCTGCTAAAAGCCTACTTGTGTTCTAGAGGAGTTTGCTGCCTCGAACATCATGGCAGGGATCTCTCTGATGACAGAGGCAGGCAGCACCTCTGAAACACTAGTAACTTCTAAAACAAGCAACAACCCAGAAGAAAGCCATCTTCAGAACAGACTAAAGGCTAAAAAAAATAGGAAAAGTAGAGGGATGAGTGGAAATAAGCTCTGCGGAATAGCACACAAAACTGGAAATGTCCAACAACAACAAATTTTAACATAAAGAGTATGTCAATAAACTAATCTTGCAACTGATGAAATTTTTATAGATTACATCCCTTACCTTAAAATTGTACAAAACCGCTTCCTCACTATAGGTTACAAAACCGACCCTCATATTGGATGTTTCAGCTCCTTCATCCTTGGGTAAAAGTTTCAAAATTTCCTTTATTTCGTCACAAAGAAGTTTAAGTAGTCCAGATTTGACGCTATTATAAGACACATCAATCAAAAAGATGAGTGCTGGAGGTTTTGGAAATGTTTTGTTCTGAAACAAGACAAAAAAATCTCTGATGCCACACTGTTTTTATATGAAATTAACTACAACATTTTGCTGAAGCAGTAATAAATGTTAGCACAATGTACTTTTGGAATCACTTATATTGATCCTTCATGTATCAAATGAAACTATTACCATTTGAAATAATTACATACCACATGTGCATGAAAATGTGAATATGCGACAAGATAATCCAAAACTATTAATATCGGCTGTAATCTGTGCACAGCCTGATTTATCTATGTAGAGACACTTTAAGATTGGATCCATACATTTTATCCTTGGACGACTAACAAAGTCCAAAAACCCAACAAAGTCAAATATATTCTAAGTTTTTTTAAGGGATACAAAAAAACAGTCCAATGTATATCAAAATATATTCATATGTTCATATATTTTGGTAAAAGTTTTGTGAATATCTCACTCAGCCCAAAATCGTTGGACAACAGCATTATTTAAATATGGCCTACAAATGTTATCAAATAATTTTCTATCTTGTAGACATTAAACATAAAGGTAAATTTCTCCCTGTGCTTAATCACTTATCCTAGGAGAACAGAGATAAAGCTTTATGCAATAGATTCTTAACCTTGGCACTAGTTGGAGTTCAGGGTTAGCATTACATTCCACCTACCACTGATGTTATGTGATGCATACAAAATAATTCAGACAACCAACAGTGAATGTATATCATACAACCAATAGTAAGTCATTTCCAGATTTGTACCATTGAAGTTACCCGTAATCACTTCTTAAAATCCAATGCAGTCAAGAAACAGAAAACAGTTTATTCTAAATATTAGACTTTAAGTTAGATATTCATGCATCTAGCCTGAAAACACTAGAATTTTCAGAAACATCATCTACGTGATACAACATAAAACCATGTCTTAAAGAAAGTGTAACATAGCATGTCCAGTATGAAATTACTGAAGAACAATAGTCAACTTACCCTACAGTCATCTTCTGTGGCAACAAATTCATATGCTGCCCGCTTCAACTCTGGTCTCGCCACCGGCAGATGTCTGTTCTCTAAATGTTTGAAGTACCATTGAGGCACTGTCAACAATTATAAAAACAATTACTTTCATTCAAAATGTTTGAGTTTTTGCATATGTCATGCTATATCACACTGCACGAGACCTTTTTTTCATTTTTCCCTTGTTTATTTCATCTGATATCCAACCCATTTCAGATTTCTGATGGCTGACTCTGTATTATTCAGTGTCATATTGGTAAGCACTATGCCAAATCTCAATAAATGCCTACTACTCATATTTCACAGTAAAAACCATTTATAATTATATTTGTAGTTATAATTAAATCAAACTGTTGTACCAATTTTGCAAAATCTTTCAGCAAAATAAAAAAAATTAAAAAGTATAAAATCTGATATTGAATATGAAATTAAAATTTTGTACAATAAAAGGGTCATTCTATATTAATATTTTTATGCAAGTTAAATTAATATTATTTATTTATTTATTTTCTAATGACAGGTACATTGATTTTATATCATTAACCTAAATACAACCTCTAGACAGAATTTTTAAAATCTACAAAATAAGACAAAGAGATGAAACATAATAATAACATGATAATGACTCAATGTTAAATTAATATTACCACAAGTATAATTTTCCCTATGCATTGTCTCATCCATTTATTACATCCATATACAACAAGACCCTTACCTTTTGTAGTGGCCTTGCAGAAACAACAGCGGAAACATCGCCCTTCGTCAATGAATTTCATGAAAGGGCACATATAGGCTTCACATCTGTTGCACCTAACAGGACCAATTTCTCCCATGTTTATAATGAGTGGCAAATCTTCTGCACATGATGTTTGAGCCAAAGGGCTCACTACAATACCAAAAGGCACAGCAACCTGAAAAACGAAAGAAGGAAAATTCTAAAAACAGTGTGCACAACATAAAATACTTTTCCATTGTTTTATACTCTAGAAATCAAGGATTCAGTACCTCATTGTGTTTCCATCTTCAGTCTGTATGTTCCTTATCTCCTCTAAGCAAGTTTAAACATAATTAGGACTGAATAATATCAACCCTTCCTATGAGTTTCTATATTAAGAAAAAGATTTGTGTGGCAGACTTACTTCCTCCATCGTTTCCATTCCGCTTGGAATATTGTACATAGTGCTACGAATATATCTACGGCTAGCACTGATTTCATCTTGGGTAAAGAATCTTGTAGCGAGAGGAAGTGGATCCACCCAATCATCATCCATATCAAAAATCAATGGCTCATTGCACTCGTCATCTTCTGTCACCTGAAATTGAAAGATCAAGAATGCAATGTCATTACCTTCATAATGCAATTCAAAAGCACAGGTTATAAAAAGCAAACTGTGTAATGTTGCTTCTCCTACAGGACATTTTAGCTCTCCTGAATTTCCTGCTCAACTTCCTCTAGCTCTTCTCATTTCCTTTCATGTTTACAGATATTTATACCTTACTATACAAAAAGTCATAAGAATAATAGCAGTGGGTCAGATGCTCTGAAAAATACTGTAATATAATCAATGATTATACAGTGGGTTATTTATTTAATCACAAGTTAAATTTTTCACTCATTAAAACTAAGTAATTCAGATAGCAAATACTAGAAATGCAATAGAAATTTTAATCACTGTTTGTTGATCAGTGTAACTTAAGTGTAATTATTTTATAAGAAGGCTCTAGTTACTTACAGGACTTGGCAAATTTTCAGGAACAAAACGTCTTGCAGGTTGTGACTGCATGAATGGATGTGGTGGATCCTGCGGCCCCATGGGTGGCTGCTGCATTTGAGGTGGGTCCTGTGGCCCCATGGGTGGCTGCTGCATTTGAGGTGGGTCCTGTGGCCCCATGGGTGGCTGCTGCATTTGAGGTGGGTCCTGTGGCCCCATGGGTGGCTGCTGCATTTGAGGTGGGTCCTGTGGCCCCATGGGTGACTGCTGCATTTGAAGTGGGTCCTGTGGCCCCATGGGTGGCTGCTGCATTTGAGGTGGGTCCTGTGGCCCCATGGGTGGCTGCTGTATTTGAGGTGGGACTCCAGCATTTGAATGGGGCATGTCCTATAGAAAAAATAGTGCATTCTTGATAAAGGAGAATGTCGTAACAAAGAAGGAAATTAGCAGATATAATATCAGAAATTACCCTGTAAATCTAGGAAACCTGCAACAAACTTTAACCTTGAGAGAAATTTTATTAATTCAATTGTGGACTAATTTTCTTAAATTTATGGGATTTTAACTGAAGCTGGACATCAAGTACCCCTGAAGATCTAAAGTGGAATCACACACATCATCATATACAGAAACAGCTTTTAATCTAGTGAATATTGCAGTATATCTAAACATATAGATAATCTCATTTTCAAACAGTATAAGCTTCCTTCTATAAGGGCCATGGGTCATATTAAGTCTTGTAAACCATCAGCTTGCATGCTTTTGAGCACAATTGGTTTTGAACACTAAGTTTATTATTTCCACTGCTCTGCTGTAAATCAGAATGTTTTCAGAAAGATATTTTCACTTTCACATGTAATATATTATATTTAAAACAATTAACTTGTTCAATAACTTTGTTACAGGCACAATATTTGCTGTAAATGGGGTCTTTCCCTCGAAAAGCAATTATTTTAGTCTTTACTTTAGTACAAATCTTAATGTTAAAGTCATGTGCAATGGAACAACTTACAGAAATCTGAGCAGCTTGTCCCGATTGTTCACTTAAATTGCTCTCTGCTAACTGACTTGGAGCTGATGTTTCTGGTGGCCACAGTATTACTGTAACATAGTAGAGTGAAAATACTTTAACATAATCTGTAAGATTTTCAGGACAGTAAAAATGAGGACTGTGATCTTCTTGGTTATAACACAGTGCAGCCTTGCAAATTACAAAGAGAGACAGTTGTGTAGTCTTGTATGTTGCTACTTACATTTCAGAAGAACATATCACCTACTTCTTCAGAGTATAAAAACAACTTCTGCATGGAAATGAATGCAGTATGTTCATTTTAAATGCTGGCAACTACCTACAAGCCTGCATCCAAAGGATCAAAATCCTGAGTTCTTCAAATTCTACAAAATGGGACATATGGGGTAGAAAGGAAATATAATGCAACAGGAGTTACTAAAGCACATGACTAATCTTCTGGAAAGTTTTCTGGCTTCCATTCAATGCCCCCTTATGGAAAATTATCTCTTTATTCATGCAGTGTTTTTAAAAATGCATCTCCAATGTAAATAACTGTATAATATTCTGCTGGCAGGTGAAACTGTATGATATGGTTACAACAATGCCAACAATTTCTCTTTATTGTGGAAGGGTACAGATGTCAAGAGCACTATAATGTTAAACACAAAAGACAGTCACTTTAAACTTGGTCCATGAAAAATGTGGTCTGTCTGTTGCTCTTAGATTTAAACATTTCAAACACTTTTTTTCACAATAATTAGCATTTATATAAATCAGGAAAGTAGAGGATGTAGTTGATTTTGATTACATAATTTCACAGTTTAAAATATGTGAGGATGTGTCTGACACAGACTACATGCTCATGGAAACAATTGTGCAATGAAGAACAAATGAAGTGTCAGGGCCAGTCAGAACAATCTATTGGCACTGACTACTAAATAAAAATTTCACTGTAAATTTGAAAAAATCACTGGCAATGATCAATTGAATAAAAATTTTCTTGGATATTATCCATCGTCTATTAAATATCCAAGAAAATTTTTATTCAATTGACTCTTCACCATCGTCAAGAAGTTTTAGATTTGATATACTGGCAATGATGTTCTGGAGAGCAGATCATGGTACCATTACAAAAATAAGAAGTTACTTTTCAGGTTAGCTATGAAGTTCGGTTTGCATTAACATTCATAATAAATCAGTGCAATGACCCGACTAAAAAGTAAGTAACCAATATATATATGCCTTCAATTCTAAAAAATTAGAGCTAACAATTTATCAAAAAAGTGATAGATAACTCTACAAACTTCTTATGTCATTCTCATTTGTGATGATCATAAAAAAGATGGAAACTATTTTTAAAATTCTTAGTTACTGAATATTAATTATTAATCAAGCCATCACTGCCATGTATGCATGTTATTTGCACCTAGCAAACAATTAGCCTATTTACAAAATTAAAATAACTTGCTCAACTAAAAAGATGTAAAAAGCTTCTCTACCAGCAGTAAAGTTTCACATGGACAAGATATCCAACAGTAAGACTTAAATTTGTCAGGATAATAAAAAAAAACATTTCAAGTATGGAAAATTGCAGTATGGAAACTATAACCCGTATTTACTATAATACACACAGTCATTTTGATGGCAAATTATAAGATTTCTAGAGTTATGAAAAGTCAAGGAAATACAGCAGAGGAGTTCCAAACAAATATAAAACCCCCTTCTCAAAATGACAACTTGATTTAATATCACACACAAACTTAAAAAATTCTAAAACTGTTACTGTGTCAGGCAATACAAGAGCCAGATCTTGCTATGGGATTCAAAACACAAACTAATTCTAACTGTAAGACAAATCTGCATACCTAAGGGTAGGCTTGCCAGCCCATTCGTAAAGTCAGATCCATAAATGTCAGGTTGATGAGCACTTGCCATGGAGCCTCCAGGCATCATTCCAGGTTCTACAGGTATGTTATTGTTAGGGGGTAGGGTGTTTTGCGGAGGTGGTTCCATATTCCGAGGTCCTGGAGCGCCAGGTGGGTGAATGCCCCCAGGTTCTTGCTGTTGTTCCTCGGGTGGTTGTGGATTCATGATTAATCCAAAGAAGAATCTGAACATCATGGTTTTCCGTCACTAAATATAACTACATAAAAGTTCCGATACTGAACATTAAACGGCATTTGGTGAAACAGTCATATTTTCTATACAAAACTGCTAATGCAGATTTTTCAAACTTGTAAATAGAAACTCATTTAAACTACACCAAAAAGTTTATATTATCACAACAACTAACTTCTGCCACGTAAGTTCGACTACTATGCGCGAGTATGATTGGTCACAACTTTAACCAAACGATATTACTTTTTACATCTTATTATGCAATAGATAGTTCTTATTATAATATATAAATTATACACATAAAATAAAAATTTGACTACCGATTTTTTGGGTAGTTTTAAAACAGTTAATAGATTTCCATTTTAAGTCAACCAGCATGGATAAACTGTTTTTTTTAATACTTTTGAAATACACGTTGCACTAATGTTAATAAAACTAACTCCTGGAAATAACATTATAAAACATGTTATTTAATCAAAGATTTTATATCTTGTAATTTCTTAGTTCACTACCACAATAACTAAGTGAGTAATTTGATTTACAATTAATTAAATATATTACGTTATGTGCTTCAATTCGTAACGTTTCCTTTGGTAATATGTATGACGTAAGAGTCGCCAGAGTCATCTAGGAACTGAAAGGTTTCATGGTTACATTTCATACAGCGAATTTTATTAACATCACCAAAAATAATATAAATAAATTAAAACTACTATTCCGCCGGACAATGGAAAAGAAACTAAACACGATTAAAACACTAATTACGGCTTATTATGTGCCACCTTCCGTTAACTTTTATTAGTTACTGCTACTTTACAAGAATCACATGAGATTCTATGCTGCTTTCATCGAATTGTTTGTTTCAAACCGTTAAGTAAGACGCACTTAAATTAATAAAGATTAGGCTTCGTTTTATTTAGGGTCAAAGTTAGACGATTGTCGGTGTGAGATATGGTGAAGTTTTTCATAAATGCTGTCTGCCGAAGATCATCACAGCTGGAAGTTTTCTGTCAGTGAACTAATTTGTACGGGCTGGAACTGTAAATAACACGAACTAAACTCTTCGCCATCACATCCAGACCGGCTCCAGAGGGCACTCAACCTCTCATACCATGGATTCAGGGGTGAAACGGCAGAGTTAGCCATTTATTTTCATCTAGTGCGGAGGTTTTCCTCCACGTCCCCTATACGCCTTAAATTCGTAACACAGCCCTTTTCTATATTAAGGATACTAAGATTGTATACACAGATCGCCATTACAAAGACAAGATGCAGTACTTACCAAGAAACATCATCGAAAGGTAATGTGAAGTTCTTGATATATGGTTTTCAGAATAGTGTCTGGGTTTTTTTTTTCTAAATTCTGAGATACATTGGAATATAGACTACTATATATTGTAAATGTAGTGCTTCGTCTGGTTGCCTATGCATCAGAATCCAGTCAAATTTAATTTCTGTACCTTGATTCTAACTAAATTAAATTTATTACGTTCAGTGAACACAATCTTATGGGCCGGGATAGCTCAGTCAGTATAGTGACTAGCTAGCTGAGCGATCGGAGAAGCTTTCGAGAAGCATTTCAAACATATATCCTAAAAGTACAGGAATATAATGTTATATTTGTGTATTACCTATTTCCATCTACCTTTAAAAATTATTCGCATAACGAATTATACCAGTAGCTGGAATACAAGCATTGTAAACGTTTGACTGCGTCTGCAGCCTGATGTTATAAACAACCATGATTATTTCAATCCTTCTGTCACCATAAACAACTTAATAATCATTAATTAAACTCGCCATATAGTTGAGGCAAATAGTTTTGTGTAGCGGTAACATATTCGGCCCAAATGGAGTTCCGAAGGCAACGGAAAACATTCTGCGTATTGTAGTCTGAAGTAAAATATTAATTATATAGTTCTGTTGACGATATCTATAAAACTTTGTGATTAATACCGGCATTGAATGTTGGCAAATGAGGCCATGTCCCATCCGGTGTGTTAGCTTTAGTAACCAAACTTCATAAGTACGTGAGTTGAGAGTTCGGCAGCCATGTTTCGGATCACGTGCCCGCATGATGGCTGTCTCATTGGTCGGAAGACCCGACCAACACTTTCAAATAGAAATGGTTGTACAGGCTTCAAAGACGTAAACTCACACATGGTCATTTTATGATTTTTTTTTGTATTTATGAAAGATTTAAGCTCCTATTCGTTTTATATAAGCACATAAACATTGTATAGGCAGAAATCCAACTACTACTGAAATATTCATTCTCACACCACATTTTAAATAAAAGTTATTTTCGCAAAGAGTTTTTGTCCGACATTGACTGAATGCACTTCATACTACCGCAGATATGATTCTTGTTGCAACAAGAACATTTTAGAAGCACAGCTATCCACTAATTCCTCATTGTCACTGCGACTACTTGAATACATTGGTTCTACAGGCACGTCTAGACGTCAACTACCAGCTTCTGAAATGAGTCAACTGAAATGATAAGCCTGAAACAAGAGTCACTGCATGCCCTCGGTTTCTGCTGGCTTCGTTTTGTTTCTCCGTCGGCACACTGCATTGCTAGATCAGATATCCCACCATGACCTTACATTTAATTTACCAGGAAATCTTAAAGAAGAGGTCATAAAGTTTCATACAATGGAAACTGAAATTAACCAGGAAGGGAAAAACAAATCTTGGCATTTTCAGGGTAATAACTCAAATGGTGAAAATACCGAGATACACTTGGACTTCCCCAGATGGCAGAACACACAATCAAATAGATCATGTTTTAGTAGATAAGAGAAGGCAGACAAATGTAATTGATGTGAGGTCATTCAGAGGAGCAGATTGCGACACTGATCATTATCTCGTGGTAGCAAAAGTGAGGGAGCGGCTTTCAGTAAGTAGACGAACTAAATACAATTTCGACACTGAAAGATCTGATTTGAAAGAAATTAAGTGAGGGAGAGGCAAAGGAACAATATCAAGTTGAAATTTCGAATAGGTTTCAAATTTTAGAGGCAAATGAGGATAATGAAAGTGTGGACATCAACAGGGAGTGGGAAAATGTCAGAAACTGCATCAAAATTTCAGCAAAAGAGAAACTAGGATACTACAGGAGAAAGCAAAATAAACCGTGGTTTGATGAAGAATGTTCAAAATTAATAGATCGATTGCTGTGTTATTACGTCTGCTATAGTCTAATACAGAAATACAAATAATTTAATAGAAGAAAATTAAAGACGATAAGGAGAAGAAGGAAAATTGGGTAAGAAAACATAAAATTCCCCGTCTCCGTAGCTTTAACATTCATAAAATCATCAGTCCACAAAGTTGGATTAATTTCTAAAAGGAAGAGTAGTACAAATTAGCAATTAGGTGTTTAATCGTAGAGACAGAATTTGGTTCATTTTGTAGCGAGTCGTAATAGGTATGATATTACCTGTTAATGAATCAAGAAACCTCTCTCCACATCGCCGTATTTTAAGACGACTCTGTCTCCTTCAGAAAGAAAAATTCCTTTTTTCATTGCTTTAAAATAGAGACGTAACATTTTATAAAGCGTCTCATCTCCCACTCAGCCCTCAAATATCGCAGTTGGGAGATTTAACATTTACGTCCCATCTCACAAAAAGAAGGTAACATTTTGTAGTATCGTAGAAATATCAATAAAAATCAACCCCCTTCTCTTAGAAGTTGCTCCCTGCAGTGTCTATATGGAAAATATATGCTTAAAATAAAATAACTTCTGAAGTACACGTAAAATTCACTCCGCATACGAACATAAAATATATTTTTTTGTAACATTACGAATTATAATTCAAAAGGAAATTATAGTTTTATCCCATTTATATTGTGTATGTACATACAGGGTGTTACATTTAAAACTCAACACTAAATAATTTTATATATAAATATATTTAAGCAAAAAAAATGACGAAACCAGTGAATGTATTGAATTCATTCAGCCGAATGCCGTTCTCTAACAGATAAAAGTTCTTGAAAATGATACGGCCTTAATTTGGAAATTTTACTTGCTATATGTGAACACTTGTTACAGACAAAAACTTCTGTGTTCCGAAATTTTGTTACTAGTCGGTTTATCGCTATATTATTCGGTAATTCTTTGTTGGGATACGCATTACTAAAATATTTCACGAACAACAGCAAAGGATTTCGATGTGAAGTAATGTTCGTACATGTACAACGTTTGCGCATTTGGTGTGAGCAACGGCCTAGCAACAAGGTTGACCTTAACTGGTGTGTTACAGAGTAATATGGGAGAGTCTATTACATGGGTATGGACCTAACTGTTGTTGTATATCCACAATCTTGTATGCTTAGTATATTTTACATATCCTGATGCAGTCATAGCATTGAATAATTTTCGATTATAAATAATTACTGATTAAATTAGCGGTATATATGGACTCCACGGGGAAATAAATTTTTAGACAAAAATCTGTAATTATGAGGGTAAAATGCATTTAAAACACATGAAAATGTAATATAAAATAAAATTAAGTGATATCTTAATATTATATTATAATAAGCTTGAGATATTTGGGCTTGAGTTTCAATTTTCTGGATAATATTTCTACGTAAATTAATACTTCACTCATTTTGACGTTCGCCCTTTTATATATTTGTACGTCTGAAATTACCTGCAAGAAATGTTACGCACAGTGAGCTAGCTAATGGATTCAGAGACAGACGCTAATGATCCATTCAAAGAGCTCTGTTACATAGCGTCCTTTTTAATACTTATATACGTCATCTTAACGCTTAAAGTAGATATTTGTCATTAATACTGCGTTCTTATTAAATTTATGCTTATAACCTAAGCTTTGTGCTTAGTAGTAATTTATATCTATTGTAAGAATTATAGGAGTTGAAGGAAACTGGATTTTGTTGGCCCAGGACAGGGTCCGGTGGAGGGCTTTGGTTAATTCGGTGATGAACCTTCGGGTTCGGTAAGCCATCTAGTTAGTTAGTTTATTTGGCGACTTCACTGACCGTACAATTAAATGTCAGGATAGTACCTCGGAATATTCCAAAACCATTTTTTTTAATCTTTTCCAATCCATTCATTAAAAATCAACCTACCATTTGACACTGCATAATCTAAGTAATTTAACGCCGCCGTTAATTAAACGAATAAAAACTAACCGAGGGTGTATGAAGTGCTAAAATTAATCATATTTTAATTAGATATGATAGGACGATAATGAATCGAGAAGGATCTGGAACTTGACACTAATGTTCCCGTAATCCTTTTTATCACGTACGAGGCTCTGGAAACTGAGTCATGACTACATGATAATTGCAGTCTGTTGGTGTTGAGAAAAAAATCCACTGTAGCAAATAGATTAGGTTACACGTAGGACGAAAGTGCATTTTCAAGTTTTGAGCACATGTGTTGGCCGTACCCCTTAAGAACGCATTAAATTTTGTCCTGTATAAACCATTGTAACCGGCCTGATCTTGTTTTGATGTCCGTACGCTTTTATTGTTTTTGATATCTAATATGTTTACGATTGTATACTGGAGTTGTTCTGATAATGAGGGCTACGTGGACAAACCTGTGGTCTAGTTTCTCACGAGGAGGATGGTGAAGTCCCTTCCAGGAAGGAGACCAGATTTGTTATTATCACTGTGTACTCTCTAAAGGAAAGACGCAATATAGATACTTGGAGTTCGACGCAGTTGTTACCTTCTTGTGTGTTCGATCCCCGTTGGCGACCCTGAAGTCCCCTGAGCTAGCTGAGCAAACCGAGAGTGGGTGATTGGTTATAACATTGTTACAAAATGAATTACTAATGTAATGCACGTCTCCATAAATAAAAAGCTCATAACCACTGCACTGAGAAGCAATTTTATTTCCTTTCCACAAAACACTCAAAATATAAAAACTTTTGTAACTGACATGAAAACCGTAAGGCAGCCACAAACAATCCCCTAGAAACGTATATACAGGCGTACTAGGAGTCACGGCCGGTCCGATCTATAGCCTACTGCAGGGGTTCTCACCATTTTTCGCTGGCGTACCACTAATTCTAATTTGACGCATTAAATGTACCACTAACCAAATGCGTTTAGGGAGTTAATATTATCTTTTGATTTTCTTACTTAGGTAGATAAACGCTGGCTTACTGCAGCCCCTTCAGTTGAAGAGATGGGGCTCCAATTCGAAAACACGTGTTGTGTTTCACATCGCGTAATTTTAACGTGGGTGTGATCTTTCGCACGATAAGACCGGCAATAAAAATATCACAAAAAAGCCACTGCTAGTGTCCTCACATCTGCAAGTCCTTAACTAGAAAACATATCGGTGACATTGCACGTCGGCAATCGTCGACAAAGGCATTTTAATCCCAGCAAAGAACAATAAGGATTTATGATACGGTCACTTGGGAACATGAAAGTGGTGTTGAATCCCAAGCAATGCCGGGATGAGTTGGCCGGGAGAGCGGATCCCTTGGGAGGAAGTTCGGGGTGATCGAAGTACTGCAAGCTGGAAGTTAACTTCAGAATTTATTACAAATAAATGTGGTATTAGTTGTTTGAGAAACCCACGAGTCGAGACGTGTTGATCTGCCTAAGCACGGGCAGTGGCGACTTCTAACAAGAGTAGAGTTCTTTCCGGCGTGGAGGCGGACTAGACTCAAGTTCAGAGAGCAAATAAGGGTGGTCGGTCGGCCCACTCGCCTCATAAAAATCCAAAAGGAAGAAATTACCATCGTTAAGACTTAAACACTTCCATGATGCAAAATCTTCCCTGAAAACTTTGACATTCAGCTAGTCAAGAAATTTGTTTCTCTTATGCAATACAAAGGTTCATTTCCACGCTCACAGAAGATGACAAATTACACCACAACCAAAGCCAGTTGAATCCTGTTTCCGTCTTCACACTCTAAATTTTAAGTTCCATTTGAATGTAACATAGTTCCCTATTCCACTTATTGGTATTAAGCAGATGCAATATGAGGATGCCTTCTCGTGTGGGTGTTTGTTGTGTTTACTAATGTGAGTCTGTCATCAACATAGCCCATATAACTTATAGCTGAGCCTTTTGTGGTGATATATTTTCTTTAAGATGCCATTCCCTGTAACAAGATCACTCATGTGTATGTGTGGGGTCGCATTCAAGAGGAGAATGACATCATATCTCTTGACCTGACTATTTACCCCCACCAAAAACCCCAGCCTAGCAGCAGAAGGTGGTCATGAAGTGACAGCATCTACTACGTGTAACTTTACTGTTCAACTTAGTACACACCTTTTTCCTTGTCTTGAGTTTTGAATAAAACTCTTCTTATTAGAAAATACGAACTGACTAGCTTCTACAATTGGAATACCTAGTTATTTCAACTTATCCACAAATCCTAAACAATCCCAAACGTATTACATGAACACCACCCTCACACGTTATTTCTCACCTCCCCAATGCGTACTAAGTGACTAGCCCATCGCAACCCTGACTTAATTGCCCTAATAAAACAATATCAAATGAAGACAAAAAATTACGAAGCTCGTCATTCCAGTGTTTCGTCTTTAAGAATTACAATTGGTTAAAACATCTGCCTAATTTCGAGGGCAGAACACTTAATACACAATTTGCATAAGCTAGGTATTCCAACCAGTTCTGAGCAGATTGTTTTGCTGGCGTTAACAAATCACTTCACCGAATTGCAATGGCGAGTAGCGATCCAGAAGTGAAGAAAGATATCTTACTCACGTGTGCTTCAAGACCCACAAATAAACCAAAAGCATAAGATGTACATGCAGTGTAATCTAAAGTCGTCATGCCACAGCTCTGAATTTAGATGATGGCGTCTTTCTTCGGAGGCCCAGGTTCCATCCCAGAGTAGCCCTCAATAAATTACGCGACGTGGAAGTTCTTATCAGTCGTTGCAACAAATTTTTCCGATAGGTCAGCTGCCTGTTGCTGTGAGCACTACAGGTCGACCTCTTATCTTATGATGTAACATCAGGAATAATTTCCGCATCTTCCTCTGTTTCGCTACAGGTTGACTTACAAATGACACTTCCTCCCTAACCATCATCCAACAAATACTCAATTGCACCGTCAGACATCGTTTTAGAAGCGCCAGAAGGGAATTTGCATATTGAAACCATGGCCTTGATTTCAACACTGAAATAAGATCTGAGATAAACAAAGACGCTTTGAATTTTTGTATGACGTCAGTGTTATAAAGCAGTATTCCAGTCCAGCCCAATATGACTCATGCTCCACACTTCAATTTCAACAACAGGGATAAACCCGCGTTATAGAGAAACCGCGTTATTACGGGGATGCATCGGAAAAATCCGTACAAGTACTGGACGTACAGTACTGATAGACTATCGCCATTTAAGAGTATACATACTTATTTAACTATGTTACGATTGATTTTTACGGGAAAAGTAATAAATAATTAATTTGGCTTACATTTTAATATACCGTACTGAAATATATTAAACTACTGTACTATATTTTTTATTTACAAACACTATGTACACGGTATTTATACACTATTACATACTTTTTATATATCAAAATTTAGGTGTAAATTTAGCAATATTTTTGTTATCAGCGTCCGTAAAAAAATAATTATGAGAAACTGTATTAAATATTTTTCTTAGGTCACTTGCTTTACACTGCAGTCTTATACAGTACAATAATTCAATTCGATTAATTTATTTACATGTTTGCCAACAGCAAGAAGCCAATAACAGGCAAACACTATTAAATGTACAATAATAATGAATAATAAAGAAAAATACTACAAAAAGAGATTAATTAAACTTATACATGTACAGTATTAAATATAACAGCCAAATACAGGGAAGCCCAAAAAAGAAACAATATTAAACACAAAACAAAATAAATGAATACAAATAAAAACAAATAATCCACCTAGGGAACACTAATATAATTGTAAAACGTTAAGAAATACAAAAAAACAAATAAATGTCCACAGTGCACGTGGAGTAGGGCTCATAAAACCCATCAGACCATTTGTTCACATTTCAGAAAGAAACGACCTTCAAAATTAAAGAAAGGGAAAACCGGTGACACTGGGAATACCAAGGGCACAAAAAATGTTCCAGCTCTTCGATTCGGCGAGGGTGGCCGTCTACTACCAAAATAAAGTACTGTGTTATCTGTCTGCAGGAAGAGTTATTATATTTCTGTAATGCAAAGCGGGACCTTTTCCTAAAGCCACTATCCGATTCTCTTCGCTGGCGTTCAAATTATACTCCTCCATGCAATATTTCCTGAAGAACGAGTCCACGTTCACCTGAATCAAGTTCCCGAATTAACCTCCATGAACTTCAACATCACCAAAGGATACAACCGAGCTAGAAAGGGGGAGGGGGCGGTTGCATTCTTCTTATCGAGATTTCAGCTCTGCTTCTCATGTCGAATCAATGGGTTACGTCAAATCCAGGTCCTAAATCAACTCACACAGAAGGGGCTCAGAATACATCCAAGACAGCATTCTAAACACAACGAGGTCGAAAGTACAAAACAGTAAAATGATGCACAAGTATTAAACTAACGGCAATTTAGTGCGGCAGCTTTGAGTTCATGGTTCAGGCACAGGAACAAATTTACGTTTTACGTCACTCACCTTTTCAATTCGCGTGATATTCCAAATAACTCCAGTGTCCGGAACACGTTACCCACAAAATGCTCCAACTTTTGCCAATAAAAAGTTAAGACGTTAAAAATATTTAGCAGCGAACAAACCGAAATACTTATTTTTGACACCAAGAAACTTAAAATTGCTTGCTTATATAACACCTGCGGCACGTTTTTCAAAGCATCTGGGCTCTTCCAAAAATATTAATGATCAGACTAGAGAAATCACTCGTCAAATACATCGCACATGCAAAGACGAATACACGCACTGTCAGATGGGAAACGAAATCACATCCACCCACACTCCTCAGAGTAAACCAACTGCCCGTCTTCGTACAGACAGTCTCTGCGAAGAGTCCACTCACGAAATATGCCGAAAGCAAGCGACTATTGCCGAACGTGAACATTCTGATAGTTACAAGGGTGTAACACGTAGACTTTCCTTGAAAACTATTACGGGTGTCGAGTGTCGTATCCCTGGCAAGGAATCGATGGACCCTGGATTCCTCGTGTCAAATCTTAAAGACCGGAGACAGCGTAACTGCCTCCGATAAAGTATAAAAGCTTTTTCCCCGATACTAATTTTGGAAGGGTACATAAAGGCCTTCCCAAATGGACCTTCCCATGACTTAATGACTAAAGAGTTCCCGGTCATTATTTCATGGATACCTGACGACTGAACATTCGGATGATTAGTGGAATGCAGCTTCTATCGGAAAATTTCAGAGTGTATTAGTGTTTGTGCTTTAAAGAGGAGGAATTCAACTAAACGATCGTATGACTACATTCATTATCAGTCAACGGATCAGTCTCACGGTAGAGTCCTGGAACGTGATAAGCCAACTTTATTTTTAAATAATCCTTTATTTCCATAAACAAGCAAGAAGCAACTATTAGCTTCTCAATAAGGAATCTGCCCCATGAAGTCAGAAAAGGTTTTGCTGTTTGCGATGAAAACAAGAATCATTCAACGCTGAGCAGGTTGTAATATTTTCAAACATTAAATCGCCGTGCACATGTAGATAGAACAGGGCAGACAAGGAATGCAGTCAGAATTTTCATCTGAAACCCCTTAGAACTACAGTTAGACCTCTACATATTATATGCCATCATAGGATCTTTGTTATGTCACTGAAGTTTCATAATTATATAAAATACTGAATGTATGAAGGATGGCCTGTGATCATTTTTGTAATTACAATTTCAGCATTAAATTTTTAATAAAATGTTATGCTTTTTGTACTTTGAATACTTTTTGTAATTGTTATACATTCCTAATATACGTTCTGTGTCAGAAGCAGTGGCGGCTTGTGAGTCTGAGCAATGGTAGTGTTGCGCAAGGGGAATAGTTTTTCAACACATAACATAAATAAATAAATGAAAAGTAAATTTACATCAGGAGAAAACATGCTTACACGCACTGTACCTAGCACGCTACCCAACGAGACGCAGTGTGGACAGTCACCCGCATCCCACTGCCCACTATGCATTCCGCTACCCTCGAACCTCCATGCAAAACGAGTGAAATACGGCCGTACCCCCCTTATGAGCCGGGATAGCTCAGTCAGTATAGCGACTAGCTACGGGCTGGACGACCGGGGTTCGATCGCCGACGGGGGCAGAGGATTTTTCCTCTGGCCCCTGCGTCCAGACCGGCTCTGGGGCCCACCCAGCCTCCTCTACAATGTGGGTACCGGGGTCCTTTCCCGGGGGTAAAGCCGGCCGGGGCGTGATGCTGACCACTCACCCCATCTAGTGCCGAGGTCAAGGAAGAGAGGAGCTATACCTCCACCCCCAAACGCCTACATGGCGTATAGTGGGACAAACTTTACTTTACTTTACATACAGAGTAACTGAAAAATGTGACAGCTGTAATCAAACGGGGAACTCAAGGCATGTTTCCGAGAAAAAACCAAACACAGAAGTAGCTTAACAGAACGTAGGCCAGGGCTGAAAACAGACTTTACGCCGTCTAACTGCCTGGTACCTGTACAATACCGCACCATAAAGCGCCATTAACCCAGACGTGGTTAACATAAAACATTTTTTATTCCCGCCCGAGCCCAGTATGTTACAAGACTGCAGATTCAGGAGAACAGACATGCATATTTGTACTTTCAAATTAAGAAATATGAACACAAGGCTACACTTTCCGTGCAAACTTTAAAACAGAAGAGAGAGAAGAGATTTTTTATCACAAAGAAACGACGGCAACCCTAAGCGCCATAACAGCTCGAGACTGTTTCTATGATGTCACCAGAGATGTCAGTGCGAGCAGAGCGCGCTCAGTTCAAGTCGTTTGAAAGACAATTCGGGTGGCGGCATTAACCTAAATGTCGTGACACCCCCCATCCCCACATTTCCGCAAGAATCATTCAACGCCAAGCAGGTTGCAATATTTTCATACATTAAATTGCATTGCACATGTAGATAGTGTAGGGTGGACAAGGAATGCAGAGAGAATTTTCATCTGAAACCTCTTAGAAGTTTAACATAAGAAGCGGCTTGGGGAGACAATATTTGAGAATGGGAGGCTCGTAGAAGATTTGTTTAAATCAATTCATAATTTATTAAACGACGCTTTCAGTAGCTCAGACTTAAAAGTATTGTTAACAGGGATGAGAAGTGTTCACTGTAAGCCACTGCTACTGAGGTTTTAATTCATAACGTACGAAAATAGTTATTTTATCACAACTGGAGAAAGTGCTGGGTGAATACTTCAGTGCATGAACTAACTAACTAACTAACTAACTAGATGGCTTACCGAACCCGAAGGTTCATCACCGAATTAACCAAAGCCCTCCACCCGACCCTGTCCTGGGCCAACAAAATCCAGTCTCCTTCAACTCCTATCTCCCATAGATT